AACATGGTACTAGCTTTTTCGTCACTAACATCACAATCGGAACTCCACCACAGTTGTTTTCCGTGATAGTCGACACTGGTTCAGCCAACTTCTGGATCCCAGACAGCTCATGTAGGAGCTGCCAAGGAAAGAGACTATTCAACAGGTAAAAATCATGCTGATACAAGCGGAACTGAATGCTTGAGAAGAATAAGATGCTTTTCAAATTACTTTAGTAACGCCTCATCATCCTATGTGATAGGTCAACAAACTTGGATGACCAGCAATCATTTTGGAATTGCGGAAGGTTTCTTTGGCAAAGACACTATCCGAGTAAGGCAGCAAGCAATTTTTAAAGTTTGCTATAGCAAGTGCTTTCAAATGTCTTTAAATTTACACTTGCTTTCCACGGTAGCTTTGGGAAAAATGCGCAAATATTACACAAAATCTAAAATTTAAAACAATTTTTTTCTACTGCCACGCATGTAGAGGAGTTAGTATGATTGCCTTCGACAACCGTCACTAGAAACTTTGTAACTCAGTGATTTCCAGCTTGCTATGGATGCTGCCGACATGATCGTGATCCCAAACACTGACATCGGCCAAGCTCTCGAAGTCCCAGCTTCTGTAGCTTCCGTAGACGGTGTTGACGGCGTCCTAGGCCTTGCTTTCCAGTCGATAGCTGACGGTCACGCTCTACCTCCAATAGCTAGAGGAATTCAACAAGGTAAATGTAAACTTGTAAAAGACCTTAAATACATATAAAGAAGAAATCCTGTACAGGTGACATCGCTGACTCTCTTTTCTCAATTTGGTTAGAAGAGCTCTGGCAGACATCTGATAACGGTACCGCTGGTGTGATTTACTATGGAGGTATGCGACTATGTCGTGACAATATCATGACTAAATATATGTGAAATTATCAAGTAAATTAGCAAGACAATACTCATCTGAGTAGCGATTTGAAACTATTAAGGTGCGGAGACGATATAGTCCTGGCTGAGAATAGTGCTAAGAATAAGGTTGACAGGAGATTTCTGCTAAGACAATGATGAGCGTAGTTGCTGGTATATTACGATTCCATGCTTATCATATGAGATTCTAGCGATAATTCATTTTGCATGAAACTTAGAGATATAAGATCAAAATTGTCAAATGTTACAACAAACATGATTGAGATACGCATATAATTTAGGGAAAATATTTTACTGTGGCATATATAACATATCCCAATG